ACAGAGCTGGAAACTGATTGACTTACATACTTGTTTGTGTTACCTACACAGTCATCACAGATGAGCCAAACAGAGTAGAGGATGAAGAAAAGGAGAACAGGAGAAAGGGACACACAAGAAGGAGATACAACAGACAAGAACGACAATGGAGACAACAATGAACAGGAACACCAGAACAGACAAGTCAATGAGTAACATGACTGATTTAAGGACTGCAGATACAGGGCCAAGGCAAGGGAGACACCACTGCTTTCCATCCAGCATGTTTGGCCAGCAAAAGAGATCATTTCAACCGCAAACAGCAAGTGATGAGGGATTATTATTTCCTCCTTCCATCCCTTTTTTCTGTTTAATCTGATTACTAACAACTTCTAATAATTTGACATAGTTTATGATTTAATTGGAAAATAAAGTGTTTTTAAATAATAAACCCGTTTCTGATTCTGATTCTTTGATTTTTGTTGACATATGGGTGTTGAGAGATGTATCCATATCTCTTAATGTTGCTCTCAAAGTGCACAAGATTGATGCTTTTAACTTCAACATTTAAAAAAAGTCTTCCTGGGGACCCCAGAGGTGAGTTCCCTCAAAATAGCACTTTATCTCTGCTTATGTAACTCCGGTGTAGTGTCCCCTCGGCAACAGATCACTCAGCTGGTGATTACTTTCCTGCATTTCAATGGACAGCATAAAACGACACGTGAGCTGGGGTCTGGTGCTCAGATTAGTTATTGATGATCACGTTGATAAATCATATAAAACTAATCACACAAAAACATGTTGCTGTGACTGTGAGCATTAAACAATTAACATTAAACTAAACAAACACAACAGTACGTTATTGTCCTTATAAAATAAAAACATACATTTTGTCCACCGAGATAATACAGGCACCTTACCCTCAAGAAATCCTCACGTGCTATGAGAATCTCCCACAATCCATTGCCGTAACAAAGCTAATGCAGACACACGTTTGTGACACCAGATGGCGCAATTGTGTATGTGCGTGTGGGGAGTCTTGCAGTAGAAAATTCGACTGTAGAGCCGCCACTGTGGGCTAAGCCCCAAATGTTTCCAGGTCCAGGCAACGCCCCTGCTCACACATATACACATAAACATAGTCAAACACCTTCCCCATCCCTGTACCTCGAGAAAATAATGTCTCTGTATTTCCTCTTGAACTAGTTAATGTCTGGACATCGCTTTAGCTCCACATTCACACTGTTCCATCGTCTCAGTCCACAGGCTGAGATATAAATGGCGCATTTCCACTACAGTGCGGTTTAAGCGTGCCGTGCCGTTTTTCTCGCCCCATAAAATCGAGGTTCTTATCGGGCCAACAACCGGGCTGAGTCAGGCTGAGTATGCTAAACTAGAGAGAGAATCGCTGGCAAGGGGGCTACAACTACAACAAGATGAACATATTTGACCGTGATTTAATTGTAATACACGTTTCAAAATGATGCCGAAGTAACAACATACTGATACCGGTTAGTAAAAACCATGAATTAATGCTTTGACAAGTCTGCAGACAGACGGCAGGCGAAAAACCCTTTTAAAATGCGCGTTTTCTAAATGGTTAAAAAGCTTTAGCATTTTTAATCTCTATAAAAATCCCGACTGCATATTTGTTGTGTTCAAGGGCATCTGTGATATCCTCAATTGATTCCATAATTGCCACTGATGTTGATCTGTTTGATCTGAATCCGTATTGACTGTCCGTGATTAATTTGTGCTTTTCTGCGTCCAGTCTGTTGTTAAATACTTTTTCTAGTATTTTTGAAAATTGGGGAAGTAAAGAGATAGGTCTGTAGTTCGTGAAGTGGTGCTTGTTCCCAGTTGTGTATACAGGTATGACTTTAGCTATTTTCATTTTGTTTGGACAAGTACCGGTTTGGAATGATAGGTTACAGATGTACGTTAATGGTTTAGAAATCCCCCAATGACCATTTTTACTAATGTCATTATAATCAGTAGACTTTTTATTTTTACATTTTTGAATAATATCTAATATCTCTTTCAGAACTGGTTTAATGAACATTGAGCAGGGATTTATCTCTAAAACAACATCTTGATGTTCCCCAGTTGTCCCTGGATCAGGGATTTTTCCAAAGAATTGATTGAAGTTCTTAGCTACATTATTTATATTATACTTTTCATTATAGTTATCAATAAAATACTCAGGATATCCTTTTTGTTTAGAGTTATTTCTTACAATACTGTTAAGTATATCCCATATTCCTTTAATATTGCTTTTGTTTTTATCTAATAATTCCTTATAATAGTCTTTCTTGCTTGTACTTATAATATTAGTCAACTTATTTTTATATTGATCCTCTGCACCTTGAGTTCTTTGTTTAATGAAGTCCCTATATAGTGTATTTTTCTTTTTGCAGGCATTTTGTAATCCCTTTGATCCATGGACAATGAATATATGTTTGTTTTCTGCTGTATTCTTTAATTGGGCAGTTTGTCATATAATGACCTAAATATCCTTAGAAAGGTTTCATAAACAGTATCGATGTCTCTTTCTTGGTAAAGTTTGTCCCAATTCTGTTCCAGCAATCCATTTGTCAGTGCATTGATGGATTCCTCTGATCGCATCCGTCTGTATCCTTTTTCTTTATCTGACGTATTTTCCCTAGTTACTATCATAGACTGTGAACACTGGCAAGTGATCACTGATATAATAATAATAATAGATTTATTTTGTTAGCGCTTTTACAGGTGCTCAAAGACGCTTTACAGATATAGTGAAAAGAAAAGAACAACAAATAAATATAGTTAAAGTTAAAGTCACACATTAAAAGCCAGATTGAAGAGATTAGTTTTTGTGAGTGTTTTGAAGGTGGTGAGGTCAGTGCATTCTCTGATGGGTTGTGGGAGTGAGTTCCAGAGGGAGGGGGCAGCGACGGAGAAGGCTCTGTCCCCTCAGGTCTGGTGATTGGTGCGGGTGGGGATGGATAGGAGGTTGGCTTCTGATGAGCGGAGGCAGCGGGAAGGGGTGTGGTGGTGCAGCAGGTCTGTGAGGTAGGGGGGGGCCTGGTTGTTGAGGGCTTTGTGAGTAATCAGGAGGACTTTGAAGTTGATTATTTGACGGACGGGAAGCCAGTGGAGGTTCTGGAGGACCGGAGTGATGTGGTCTCGGGAGCGGGTGAGGAGGCGGGCAGCAGAGTTCTGGATATGTTGGAGTTTATTGAGGAGGTTGGATGGTATGCCGTAGAGCAGGGGTTCCCAACCGCCGGTCCGCGGACCGGTACCGGGCCGCGGACGTGTTACTGCCGGGCCGCGAAATAGCTGTGAGTTTATCGTAATATTTGCAGAATTATAAATATATAAAAATATTTGATCATAATATTTTTTTCAAAAAGTGTTTAATGTTCGCACCTATACCAGTCATATTATTTAATCAAGTAGCCTAGTTAACCTTTCACCAGATAACCGTTGAAAATGGCTTTTATGATGTTCCGAAGGATTCGGCGGCTCAGGGTCTCAGCCTCTCGTGCGCACGAGAAAGTTACCGGTGCACCAAGTAGGAAGAGGGAGCGCACAGGAGACAACCGTTTGATTGCAGACTGTTGTGTTTATGTGGGGAAATGGCAGTGCATACATTATTTGAGATATATTTCAAACTCTGACTTCATTTTAAGGACATGTCGGCCAGGGGTGTAGAGCTATATGTTTATTTTATTAGCTTTTCTTTTTAATGACTGATTTTAAATGCCATTTTCTTAATGTCTTTCATTTTTTTGTAAAGTACTTTGAATTGCCTTGTGTTGAAAAGTGCTATATAAATAAACTTGCCTTGCCTTTGTTTAAGCACCGGATTGGCAAAACAGGAGAGTAAACCAGTCTGCCTTGATCTATGAATGCATGTCCGGGACTCTTACGGTATCTGCTGCCCGCAGCTGTTTTATAGAAGGAAAGCCTCCTTCACTTCATGAAATGGCTGCAGGCAGCATCAGGAGGCAGCGGGACGTGTAACTCTGCCTCTGAGAAGTGCAGCACCAGCGCGCCGAGAGCTGTGCCTTTTTACGCACCGCCTTCGCTGTGTTTACCTTCATCAGAACAGCTTAAGAGTGACTGCAGGCTGCAAAGTGTTAACCACACACACCTCTACACACATCAAACTGCCCGATTACTCCCCCTTTTATTAGTTTAATGAAGGAGATGTCCGTCACCAAGGCGCATGATGTGGTGTGTGTGTGCTCAGCTCAGCTCAGTGTGTTTGTGTCTGTCCGACACCGGCATTTGTTTTCAAATGACCATGAACAGTAATTTACACACATCTGGCTAACTCCATAGGTAGCCTATATGCGGGTGTTCCCAAAATAAATTAGTTTAATCTTAATCTCGATGTAGTGCTAAATGCTGTCGGAGTGCACCGGAACGAACGTCACTATCATAATATCTTCTGAAAACAAATGCCAGTGTTACACACACACACACACACACACACACACACACACACACACACACACACACACACACACACACACACACACACACACACACACACACACACACACACACACACACACACACACACACACACACACACCCCTCCTTCATAATGCGCCTTTTCCTCGTTTTCCCAGCATTCACTGGATTATCCGTAAATCATACAAACAAAACCAAAACGTTGATTTATCTGTTTTCCCGTTTTGGTTTAAAAACTGAATAACGTCGGTTTTTTGGTTTTCCATTTTTCCGAAAAAACTAAAAACGACACCGGTTCTTTTTTAAACGTTGTTAATATGTTTTGGATGCATATTGTTCTAGTATTTGTTCAGGCTATTACATACAATTAGCCTCTGTTGCTACCTGCTGGTGGTGAGTAGATATTAAAATCAGTTAAAATTGACAACCGTTTTTTTAATGTATCTGCCGGTCCTTGGCACAATAAAGGTTGGGAACCCCTGCCGTAGAGCAAAGGTTCCCAAACTTTTCAGCCCGCGACCCCCAAAATAACAGTGCCAGAGACTGGCGACCCCCCACTATCACGTGGTGACTGGAAGAAAAAAAAAACGTGTGCACAGGACGCATGCACTAATAGGCGTATACAAACACACGCATAACGACAACACACAAGAACAGAACAGCCTGACAACCATGATATGATTTTACATATACAGGGCATGACATTAAGGATTTTGGGAGATGGCCCTGTGGGCCATCTAAGCTAATTTACAGATGGCCCTGAGTCCAATAGAGATGGCCCTGAAAAATGCGTGCGGACGAAATGACACACGAAAGGTTTTGGGGACCTGCAGGTCTTAGATGCTGTCTGGTGCATTCTCTAGAATTATAAGATGAACCACCACAATATTATATTGTACAATTTCAATTTTATTCTTAATTTAACTTCTTCTTGTTTGTGTTTGCTGATTCAACGACTGATAGTCTTTCAAGAAAGTGTCAATGTCTGACTCGTCTATGTCTGACTCATCTGAGTCGCCAAGAGCTTCAGCCAAGCGCTTCTCGCCAGCAGCCACATTCTCTGCCTCAAGTCCGAGCTCGTCAGATATGGCCTCCTGGCGCACATTCTCCTCCTGCTCGGCTTCCTGATCCATAAGAACCAGGTCTTGATAGAGGTCGTCCCGTATCTCCTGCTCCTGCTCCTTCTGCCACGGGTTGAAGCCAGGGCGACGAGCCCTATTTCCTGAGGTCCACCACTTCTCCACGGCTCCGGCAGCATCAAAGTTGTCCATTGAGGGGCCCTCAATGGAGGAAAACATCAGGCGGCTGAGCTGCTCAGTACCCAGACAGGAACGCCAGTCGTTCTTCACCCTCTTCATGCAGCTGAACCCCCGCTCACACACTGCAGTGTTGACTGCCAGAACAAGGTATATTTCAAACAGTATTGACAGCCCCTTATACTGTTTGCATCTCTCAGTGTCACACAGGATGCCAGAGAAGATCTGTGGCATTCGAAGTGTGCGGGCTGCTGCATAACTCTTGTAGAGGATGAACTCAGACTTCAGCATTTTAGTTGTAACACTGTGCTCGTCCATCAGGGGCTGATCATGCTCACAGATATCAGCAAAGTCTTGTTTGCCATAGGCAGCCAGCTCCTGTCTGTCAAAGGGCCACTGACTGGGGTTGAAGATGGAACATTTTGAAGGGACACTCCCTTTCTGGAGATCTTGGAATCTTTTCTCCAGGTGCTTGATGAGCACATCTGCAAACACATACAAAATGTCAAATTATAATCCCTGTCTCTGGACCACCATAAAAAATCATTTATATCATAACAAATGTGAAATTATATTCCTGTCTTTGGACCACCATAAAATAACCATAAAAGTATCTATTAAAACATGTTATGCCCATATTTACTTATGAAGAAAATATTATTGGGCACATACCTATGACTTTCTTCCGGAGAAAGAGAATCTGCCCTTCGTTGACATACTTGAGTTTAGTCCCTCGGAAGAGGCCGGTTTCAGCTGCAGCTCAGTCTTTCTCTTCTTCTTTCCAGGTTGTTCACCTTGCTTTGGTGGACTAAGAAACATTGTAATACACTCTGACTTTAAATTATTTGATCATTATATATTCAGCATCAGAATCCGTAACAAACTGAAATTCCCGCGAAAATGTGGTTGCATTCGATTCATTGTCTGGGTAGTATTCAGTTGCGCCACTTATGTGACAGACAAGAATAGTCAATTCTAATGTCTAACACTTAATGTGGAGAAAGAGATGTCCTGTGTGGGTTGATTGTGCGTTGATCTGTTGGTAATGCCTCAGGGTTCCGGTGGGCATGTAAACAAATGCATAATGCTGCGCTATACTTTGTGGCCTCACCCAGTTGCATAGCGACACTCATTGTTTAGGTGTCTTTTAATAAGCAGGTAGTCATATCATTAGCTAGAACTAGCTGGATCTGATCGATTTGGACATAAACGCGAGTGAAGTCTAATCTGACGGGAGAGAGAGATCAGCTGCTGCTGCTGCTGAGGAGTCGACACGCAGCTCTGCATGCACATGCAGCGGTGAGCGGACAAAACACACACACACACTTCAGGTTAGAATATCACACGTAGCTATTTAATTACCTCTCAAACTACCTAAACTAGTTATAGTAGATGTGTTTTAGTTTTACTGTCGGGTCACTCATTACTGGATCCGCGAGCTGCATGATACTGGCATAATAGATTGCCCGATCGGGCAACCAGCAGGTGAGGCTTCATTGCCCGAGCTAAATGCTAGATGGCCCCGGGCCATCGGGCCATCCTTAATGTCGAGCCCTGATATAGCAATTTAATATAAGATAACAGCAGAACTCGTGAGTCAAAGTAATCTCCATGTGAATTAGGAGAACATTGTTGCGGTGCAAACTTTAAAAGACATAAAGTAAACATATGAACATTGTTCCAGGAGGGCTTGCAGGTGGGTAGTGTAAGTAATTCAAGAACCCTGAAGGCAGGAGAGACTGAAAAGAGTCAAGGGAAGCTTATAAAAGTTAACAGCATTTAATTACACAAAATATGCGGTGGTGTACAAAATGAAATGTGCGAGTGGAGGCGCTCTCCTCATCCGACCGGTCAGTCCAGGTCAGCAGGTCGAAGAGGTCAATTCTTGGCTTGCTCTTCCTGTTGTCATCTGAGGTCTTCTCCTATTGGCCGGCGTTGTCGGGGGCGGGTCCAATGCAATTCCTGCCTTTTTCTGTTGTTAAATTATATCATTCTGGTGTCTGTGGTTATTTGAACATTCCCTAATAAACGTTATTCAGCGGCAATAAATGAGTGCTAAACCCAGTGTGCTCAGTGTACAACATCACATGTCATTTCACCTTTGATTCACGGTTTGAAAAAGCAGCATTTCGCCACATGCTAATGCTAACCGGAAGTGAATAATTTGCAGAATAAAAGTATTAAGTTAATAGTTAGTGTGAACTTCCGGTTTTTCAGAATAAAACTGATTTAAATTAAATAGTGTATTTAATTCAAATTTCGCCATACCAACATTGATTTTAATTTCTAACAGTAGTGATAGACTTCTTCACAGAGTTAACACTAAGATCATTTTCCTCTATGAATTCCTCCAGCTCAGGAAACAATCCTGCCCATTTCAACTCGCGCAGTCCAGTTTCCTCTTGAATGTGCAGATTTTATCATTCAAGGACATGATGCTTGTGTTTTCACCTTGCAATGACAGGTTAAGTCCGTTCAGTCTGTCAAATATGCAATCTGCCAGCCTTGTTAACCAGTCAGGGTCAGTCAGGTGGTCAGCGAGTCTATGGCTGGGACCCATGCTCCGTGAGAAATAAGCGCACCTCATACAGGCGGCTGAGAACATTTCCCCTTGAAAGCCACCTGACTTCTGTGTGGAACAGCAGGCCCTGATGCTCCGATCCCAGTTCATTGCAGAGACTGGCGAACAGCCTGGTATTGAGTGGACGGGATTTAATGTAGTTGACCATTTTTATCGCAGTCTCAAGAACACTTTTAAGCTCTGGGTCAAGCATTTTACTCGCTAGAGCTTCTCTGTGGATAATACAGTGCGTAAAGATAACGTGGGGCGCCACAGCATTGCTCCAGCACCATCTGTACACACACTGATGCACTCATCCCAAGACAGTCTCTCTTCTTTTATTTTGTTGTCAAGTTTTGTGAAAATTTCCTCGCCTGTGCACTTTAGCTCCAGCGGGGTGCAAAACAGCATGTCCTCATCAAGTTTTCCTTCAAAACTGTATCTGACGAAAACAAGCAGTTGGGCAGAGTTTGACACATCTGTGGATTCGTCTAACTGCAAAGCATATTTCCCTTTCTTCACTCTGTCAATCAGCTGACACTTGATATCCTGGGCCATGTCCGTGATGCGCCGGGATATGGTCCCGTCAGACAGCGGCACTGCTTCCAGCTCCCGTGCCTGTTTATCCCCATGCATTGCCCTACTCATAGCGATAGCAGCAGGTTTAATTAGGGTTTCCCCGATTGTGTGTGGCTTTTTTGCCTGTGCAATTAAATATGCCACCTCATATGATGCCTTTTGAGCCTTGTTGCTTGGTTAGTTATAACTTTGTTTTGGCCTTGCAATTCTCTCTGCTTTCGGCGGAAAAAATCTGCTGGTTTAGTAGCAAGAGAGGGGTGCTTCGTGTTTAAATGTCTGAGCATTTTTACGGGCTTTAAGCTCTCATGTGCAAGAACCTCAGTGCACACTACACATTGGGGATGTTGTGCTTCATTGATAATGAGGCGTGTGAATCCGTACTGGATGTATTCCATTCGATACTTGCGACACTTGGATAAAGGCTGGTCTGACTGCTTATGGACCGCCTTACGGTTGTCGTCTCCCCTCCTCCTCCTCTTCCCGCGCAAGAAGTCGACGGCCTTTGTGATGGCGGCTCTCCGCTCTCCTCCGCTGCCTTCTCCGCTGGCCTGTCTGCCTTCTCACTAGTTGGTATTAACCAACGTTTCATTTTGAAAAATGTATTAAAGATCTGTTCAGAAGAAATATACTAGTGCGTAGTTGATGTGTGTTTTACGTCTGTGATATTTACTGTGGTGCTGTAAAGTGACCTTTGAGCTGCAAATGACTGTCGTAAATCTCCATCCATCCATCCATCCATCTTCTCCCGCTTATCCGTGGTCGGGTCGCGGGGGTAGCAGTTCCAGCAGAGAGCCCCAAACTTTCTTTTCCCTGGCGACATCAACCAGCTCTGACTGGGGGATCCCAAGGCGCTCCCAGGCCAGCGAAGAGATATAATCCCTCCACCTGGTCCTAGGTCTACCCCTTGGTCTCTTCCCAGCTGGACGTGCCTGGAACACCTCCCTAGGGAGGCGCCCAGGTGGCATCCTAACTAGGTGCCCGAACCACCTCAACTGGCTCCTTTCGACGCGAAGGAGGAGCGGCTCAACTCCGAGTCCCTCCCTGATGACCGAACTTCTCACCTTATCCCTAAGGGAGACACCAGCCACCCTGCGGAGAAAACCCATCTCGGCCGCTTGTATCCGTCGTAAATCTGTCAATCAAAATTCCTTTAGTTGTCCCACTTACCTATTAAACAGACTTACATAATACAAAATGTCTATGCACACGTTATTATTATTAATAATAATTAAAAAATATATTTAAACTTTTTTTTTTTTTTAAAACACCTCAGGGGTCACATCAAGAGGATTCTGAAATCATCTCGCGACCCCCACTTTGGGAACCCCTGCCGTAGAGGATGCTATTGCAGTAGTCGAGTCGTGATGTGATGAATGCATGAATCAGGGTTTCAGCAGCAGAGGAGGAGAGTGATGGGCGGAGACGGGCAATGTTTTTGAGGTGGAAAACGGCGGTCCTGGTGATGTGATTGATGTGGTGATTGAATTTGAGCTGACTGTCGAAGATGACTACGAGGTTGCGGATGTGAGGTAGAGTGTGGCTGTCAATGGTGAAGTTGAAATTCTGGATGTCTTTGATACGGGATAGGGGGCCGATGATGATGATGTCTGATTTGGCACTGTTCAGTTGGAGATAGTTTGTTTGCATCCATGGTTTTATTTCTGAGAGACAGTTGGTGAGAGTGGAGTGTGTTGTGGGGGTGATGGTTTTTGTTGAGATATAAAGTTGGATGTAATCGACGAAGCAGTGAAATTGAAGGTTGTGGCGACTAATTATTTTGCCAAGGGGGAGCATGTAGAGGATGAAGAGGAGGGGGCCAAGCACCGAACCCTGGGGGACGCCTTGGGACAGAGGAGCAGTGGAGGAGGTGCAGATGTTGATGTTGATAAACTGATGTCTGTCGGTGAGGTAGGATTTCAGCCAGGAGAGTGCAGTGTCAGTGATGTTGAGTGATGATTCGAGGAGGGACAGCAGGATGGCGTGGTTGATGGTGTTGAATGCTGCGGTGAGGTCGAGGAGGATGAGGATGTTCAGGTTGCCGGAGTCAGAGGAGAGGAGGAGGTCTTTTGTGATTTTCAAAAGAGCTGTTTCTGTGCTGTGTTTTGATCGGAAACCGGATTGAAATGGCTTAAAGAGGTATTACAGCCGCTACTTTCGTTATGCCATTAACTCTGGTTGTGTGTGTATATGTAAATGAGCTGTGCAGTTCCTCTGCTATCATTGGCCGTCCCGACCTCGCAACATCCGCGGTGATTGGACGGACGTCACCCAATCCCCGCCCGCTTCTGCCACGTCATCCGGGGGAGGAGTATAAAGGCCAGGCACGGACACCATTCGGGAGGCTCTGTATTGTGTGACAGACGCCTCAACCCTCTCATTGTGACAAGGCCATTTTCTGTGATTCCTTAGACTGCCTAGCAGTGTGTATTCTGTGCTTCTTTAGACTGCCTAGCAGTGTGTTCAGTAGGGTTCTGTGCATGCACACTGATTGTCGTAGTATTCTGTGTGTAGTATAGGGTTTGTGTGTGTGTATTGTGTAGATCCAGGTTGCTTAGCTCCTGTAGAACCGCATTTAGGATATTGACATTGTGAAACAGCTTAGACCCAGGTTAGCTTAGCGCCTGTAGATCAGCATTTGTGAAAGTATTGCTTAGACCCCGGTGATTAGCACCGGTTGATCAGCAACAGCTGTGTTCCCACAC